CAAGGTGCGCTTGGTGGCCTCCTGCAAATGCAAGCGCCTGGGCCGCGCGCACAACCAGTCCGAGCGCAAGGACTTCGCGCCCGGGCCGCAGAGGGGACGCAAGCCCAGGCCGCGCGCCGAGCTGGACAACGCGTACTGACCCTGGGGCCTGGACCCGCACGGCCGAGGGCCCCGTCACTCCGAATGCACCACGCCCAGGGCGGGGACTGAGCTGCGGAATCCGGGTCTGGAGAGCCGCCAGCCTGCAGACTCCCGCGGGGAGGCATGGGGACACTGCCCACGCCTCCGAGGGGAGGAAATGGACAGTGCACACTGCCCGGCCGGCTGAGGAGCTCCTGAGACCCTGGCATCTCCACACCGCTGCCAGCCTGGGCTGTGTGCCCACGACACGCTGCCTTAGCTTGCTGCGGGGCCTCGCCGTCTTCTCTGCACGATGGGGAAGGAAGGCTGCAGCTCCAGGACCCCCTTACCCCGCGCCCCTCTGGGACCTGGCGCTGCTGAGTGGGCCGGGCAATTGGATCGCTGCTGGTCACTGCGGGAGCCCGGGGGTGCCGTTGCCGCCCAGACGCGCAGCGGAGGAGGAGGAGGCCGCTGGCCCGGGACGGGGCAGGCAGAGCTGTGGGCCCCAGCCTGGCCGCCCGTCCCCAAGAAAGGGTGTCCTGAGTGCCGACAGGGAGCGGGTGCTGGAGGTGGCAGGGGACAGTCGGTCACCCTCATCGTGCAGAGCAGCGCCCCTCCCTGCACTGCCGCCCTGCAGTCACCTGCAGAGGCCAGCTGCCCCTCGTCCCGCCCGGCTCCCACGGCCGTGCTGTTGTCTAGAAAACAGCGTCCCCTCCTTCCTGGGCGGAGCGCTGTCCACGGGCGACGCCGGTCCCTTCCAGCCGCCGCCCTCCGCCGACTTCTGTGCAGCTGTCCACGGCTCCGAGGGAGAGCACTGTAGCCGGGAGCAGGGCCTCCAGGAACACAGGGCCGGCATTCCTGCCCTCTCCTGCGCGGGGCCTGGCTCCAGGGCGAGGTGGTGGTTTTACAGAGTACACTGTGTATTTATTTTCCCGTGTAAGTTATTTATGCGCAGGGTTTTCCTGCAGAGCGCGACAGTGCCTGTCCTGCTCCGCAGCGCCTGGTGCCCTCGTGCCGGGTTTGCTAATAAAGACCGTGCCCTCCACCCGGTGGCGTGGCCGCCTGTCCTCAGCCTCGCGGCTGGTCTCTGTCTCTTCCCGCCGAGGGCCAGCCCATGCAGGGTTGTGCCTGTCCTTTGGTGGCCAATATGCCCTTCCTTGCACACTGGGCCTCACGCCCTCGCGGGTCAGTCATGGCCCTGGCCAGGTCCGTGGTCAGCAGCCTCGTCCACCCCGGGTCCATCTGCGGCTCCGGGCTGCCGCCCCTTCGCGCCCCAAGAATCCCTGCCCGGACCCACCTCTTTCCTGCACCTCCCAGGTGTGTCCGAGCTCCGCAGAGCCCCTCCTCGGGTGTCCTGCCCCCTTCAGCCCAGGCCACAGCTTTGGGCCCGTCGCAGCCCCGCATCGAGTCCCTTCCTGGGGTCCCCATCCCGTCTGGCCCGGCACACAGCCCTCAGGAGGAGTGTTCTCCAGGGAAAGTGGGACCACGTCTCCACTCCACGCTGGGCCCGCAGTTGCCGTGCTGAGCTGTGTGATGGCCCGGACCCCGAAAGCCCCCTGGCTGCAGGAAGAGGCACAGTCACCGCAGTGCCTCAAGCCCAGGCCAGCCCCGAGTGAGCTCCTGTCCCCTCAGGTGGCTTCTGGGGGTGGCTCCCCAGGGCCCCTCAATTGTGAGCACCAGCAAGTCTGTGGGTGTCACTGTGGCTGTGGCCCTGTCCCCCAAGTCCCAGGCCCTGCAGGGGATCCACGCGTCTCTAGGCCCACCGCAGGGGGCACTGTGGCACAGCCGGGGGCACATGGGCCCAGGAAGCAGGTGCTGGGAAGGGGGAGCACTGGCACCACGGGCTCTGCGTTTTCCCGCACCCGGCCAGGCTCGGCTCTGGCCTCACACACACACACACACACACACACACGCTGCTCAGAGCCAGCAGGGACGGGGCGCGTCCTGCACAGGTGCAGGGGGCCAGGGGAAGCGGCGGACAGTGGGGGGGGCGGCGCCCGGCCGTGGGGCACAGAGGCCGCACATGCATGGCTGGCTTGGGGCTACAGTCCCCTCAGCGCAGGGACCGAGACACTGGAGGACGGGTTGGCCGTCATTTGTGGGATTGTGTCCACCGACATGAGACCCAGGCACCTGGCGCCATCCGAAAGAACAGACAACAGGGGAGGCGGGAGGGCAGCGTGTGCTGCGGGGAGCGCCATCCGCATTCCCACAGTGCCCCCCACAGGGCTCTGCTACACTGAGGCACAGATCACGTTCCCTGGGCTCTGGAGGTAAAGCCGGAGACCCCCTCCGGGGCCGCAGGACCCAACGTCCCTGATGTCACGGCAGTAGGCCACACACGTGGGCAGCAGGAGGGGGCGAGCTGTCCAGGCCCCCGTACAGCAGCCGTGCTTGGAGCTGGGCACGGAGCCGGTGCCGCATCCACAGCCACCCGCCTGCACCCCACAGGCCTGCGCCCTGCACTGCACCCCAGTGGTGGCCGGCAGCGGCCAAGGTAGTGACGCTCCTTGCACGGCCAGAGGGGCAGGAGATGGACAAGGCCCCAAGCTGGGGGGCCAGGATGGTCGGTGGGGACAGGCAGGCAGCTGGGTGCAGGGGTGAAGGTCCCCGGCGCCACGTCCTCTTGTCTGTCACGTGGAGACCGTGCCCTCGCTGCACTCTGATTTCCTCGTGGTCAGCAGGGTCGGACTTGGGCTCTGCCCACCAGGACTTTCGGGCAGAGCTGCAGCTGGCAGCTGAGGCAGAGGGAAGGGCCCAGGCCACCCGTGCCTGTCTGGGCAGTGCCAGGGGCTGTGCCTGGCAGCCTGGGACGGGGCAGGACCAGGCGGGGCCTTGGGGAGAAGCTGGGTCCGGACATGGTCACGGTCACAGATGGGCCGTCCCCTGCCCCGGTGCCCCTCCTCGGAATTTCAGCCCATGAGGAGGCCGTCACCTGATTCAGCCCCAACCCTGGATCTCCAGAGCTGGAGCCAAATAAGCCTTTCTGTGACCACATCCTGGGTGAACGAGCAGGGCTGGGGGCCCAGGACTGACTTTCCCTGGAGAGCAATAAACCCAGCTGGTTGGAGCTGGGGGTGGCCAGGCCAGGCCCCGGGAGGTGGCAGTGGAGCTGGGAACTGCAGCACGGGACCAGGGTGAGCCGCACAAGACCCTGCAGGCACCAGCTGGCAGGGGTGGCCTGGGTGCCTCTCGGGTGCCTGCACCACGGCCACTGACCCTGCTCTGGAAGCCGGGGTGGGGACTGGAATCGCAGCGGGAAGGTGCGTGTGCGTGCGTGTGCATATTGTATGTTAAAGACCAAGAGCTCGCCCGGCACTGCCTTCTCACGGCTTCCATCTGCCGCGTGAGGCCTTTGCGTCGGGCGGCTGTGCCTTCCCGGAGGAGCCGGACCTCTGTCCTTCCAGGATGAGGGCTGTTCCCCTCCAGCACCACTGTGGGACACTGTCCCCCTTTCCTGGAACCCACAGGGTCCCGGCGAGGACGGAAGCCGCGCTCTGGGACGGAAAGCACAGTGTGAGGGTGGTGCTGATGCAGCCGCCGGAAGGCATGAGGACAGGTCCGGCGAGACCTGGGTCAGGGACAGGGGGCCGGGAGCTGGGAGGGGACAGCAGGCCAGGAGCGGCCGAGGGTGACTTCCTCCGGGCTGCCTGGGGCCTGCTCAAGTCACTCTCTGCCTCTTACACGCATGCGTGTGCACACACATGCACACGCTGTCCTGAATTTCCACCACAGACATTCCCAGGTTCCTGAGACCCATCTCCAGGGGCTGTGTTGGGTGCAGGGGCCACCTCAGAATCTCCTGCCTGTGGCTGGGCTTTCCTGTTTTTTAAAAAATTAAGTTCAGATTTTTTATTTTTTTACTTTTTTTGGTTTTTGGAGACAGGATGTGTAGCCCAGCCTGGCTTCGAGCTTGCAGCGGTCCTCCTGCCTCAGCCTCCGCAGTGCTGGGATCACAGTGTGGCCCCGTCCAGGGCTTCTGTGTTTGTCTCCTGCTGCGGCCGAAGCCAGGGCTCCCCAGGCACAGAGCAGCAGCAACCTAAGGCTCAGGCCCGGACTCCTGCGGCACTTCAGCCCCGGGGCAGGACTGAAGCGGGACCTTCCGGAAGCGCTTCCCCAGGCCCTGAGGCTGCGGCTCAGGGAGCGGTGGCTCTGTCTGAGGGGCTTATGGGGCCTCTCCAGGCGATGCCCTGTACCATGCCCAGCCCAGCCCGCAGATGCCAGCGCCGGCCGCAGGGCTCCGTGCTAAGCTCTGGCCTCCTTCCTCTCCCCAGGGCTCCCTGTCGCCTAACGATCAGCCCTCTCCCCTGCCGCCCTGCCCGCCCCGTGGTCCACCTGCCCCGACCCTTTTTGATTTTTTGAGACAGTATCTTGCTGTGTAGCTCAGGCTGGCATTGAACTGGCAGTGATCCTCCTGCCTCAGCTTCTGCAGTGCCTGGATGACAGGAGTGCCCACCGTGTCTGCTGCAGTCCGCCCCCTTTAGCACTTGGCTCTCTGGGTGCTGTTTAACTGAGAATCTTCCCAGTGGTGTCTGCCCTCCCCCTGCAGGCAGGCAGAGTGCGGGGCGCTGCGCGCTGGGTGGTGGGACCGCAGTACGACCCGAACCTGGCTCTGGCTCCTGCTCCACTCCGCTCTGCAGCGGGCTGTGCCGTCCGGAACCACCTGCTGCAGCTTCTGCTCCAGCGCTGCTGGCGGGGAGGGACCGGCGCTCCCTTCCAGCAGCAGCAGCAGCAGCCGCGGGGAGGCGCTCGCTTGGGCCGGGTCTTCCCAGCCTCCCCCATTCGGGTCCCCCTGAGCTCGGCCCTCACCGCCCTGGCCGGGCCCCTCCCCGACCTGACGGCCGCTGTTTACGTGGGACATTGTCAAACGCCCGAGTGACAGACATCTCTATCACTTGGCCAGCAATTTGGTGTCACGGGTCGGTTATTTACATGTCCGAGGAAAACAGCTCTGCTCCGACTAAAGAAATAAATGATATCATTTTTCATTCGGCGACCAGATTCCGCGGTCCCCGAGGTCCCCGGGGAGCGGTGCCGCCGGGACAGCGCGGCTCCTGGCGGGCTATTTACATCCATCCTCTGCTGTCCCCGCTGGGGTCGCGGGGGGCTGTGGCCTCCGCGCTTGGGAGGGCGAGGTGCTGGCCCGGTGACAGCTTTTTTTCTCCTTTTTCTTTTTTTTAGAAATCAACCTCAATTTAAGAAAATGACCCTCCTTGCTCACCGTGATCGCTATTTGTAGGGGCTTGTTTTTTCCTGGTCAATTTGGCCAAGACAAGTTGAATCTAAAAGGGAACACTGGCTAAAAATGCTGCCGGGTGGTTGTAGGACCAGGACCCGGGGACGTTGCCCAGGTCACCTGTGCCACGGCAGCCTGGATGCCCCCTTCCGGAAGGGCACCGAAGGGGGCAGGTGCCCGGTCGGCGTCGGGACGGCTCTTTGTTTTTATTTATTTGTTTTTATTTTTTTGAGACAAGACCTCTGTATGTAGCGCAGGCTGGCCTTGAACTTCAGGTGATCCTCTTGCCTCAGCCTCCCAGAGATGGCTGGAGACGAGGGCCATCCCCCAGCAATGCCTCCTCGTGAACAGTCAGCAGCCCCCTTCTCTGCTGACCCCGACCGGTGCTCCCCCCGGCTGCCCCTCTGCCCGGGTCACTCTTGTGCATTCTCTGCCTGTGTCCCCTCCCCGGCCACCCCAGCAGAAGCAGGGCCTGTCCCCAAGTGTCCTCACCTTCACCCCATGAGCTCACAGCGGGCTCGTCTTCAGGTCTACATTCGAAGGGCCGCTCGGCGCAGGCACTCGGGGAGAACGGGCGAGGGCCACGGTGTCCACGCCCCACTGAGGGTGTCTGGAGCTGGGGTCACTGTGCCTCCTTCCCAGTCTCCTAGAGAGGTAACAGACCCTGCCCACCCCAGCCGCCTGGAAGACTGTCATGAGCTCTACTTCTGCTTTGCTCCCCAGTACTGGGATGGAGCCCGGGCATCTCCCGCTGAGCTACAGCCTCAGCACTTTTCGCTTTGAGACAGGGTCTCAGGTGGTTGCTACATTGTCCCGGCTGGGCTTGAACCTGCAA